GGCCGCAGTTGGCGCAGGCGTAGGGCCGCTCGCCAGTGTGCGTGCGCTGGTGCGTCACGAGCACCGAGCGCTGCGAGAAGCGCTTGCCGCACTCGGGACACGGGAAGGGCCGCTCGCCCGTGTGGCCGCGCCGGTGCTTGGCCAGGTTGGAGCGCTGTGCAAAGCCACGGCCGCAGTCCGCGCAGCGGAAGGGCTTCTCGCCAGTGTGTGTGCGCCGGTGCCGCTTGAAGTCCGAACTGTGGCCGAATCCCTTGCCGCAGTCGGGGCAGCGGTGAGGCTTCTCCTCAGCGTGCGCCCACTGGTGCCGCGTCAGCGCCGCGCTTTGCCCGAAGCGGCGGCCGCACTCACCGCACGCGTAGGGGCGCTCGCCCGTGTGCGCACGCCCATGTGCCGTTAGGTGAGCACGCCGACTGAAGCCCGCGCCACACACACCGCACACAAAGGGCTTTTCGCCCGTGTGACCTCGCACGTGCGCTGCCAGGTGCGAGCCGCGCGCAAAGCGCGCGCCGCACTCGGGGCACGGGAAGGGCCGCTCGCCGGTGTGCGTGCGCCGGTGGCGTGCCAGGTGAGAGCCGTAAACGAAGCTCTTGCCGCAGTCGGCGCAGCGGTGTGGTCGCTCACCCGCGTGATAACGCTGGTGCTTGGCCAGCGCAGCGCGGCGCCCAAATGTCTTGCCACAGTCGGAACAGATCCACGGGCTCTCCTCCTCGGCTAGAGCGGCTGGCGCCGGTTCCGCCAGCAAACCCCCGACTGCAGGCCCGAACGCGCGCAACCGGCCGCCCCGGGCTCTGCCACGGCCAAAAGGATCGCAGGCCAAACCAGTGCCCTCCACCATGGAGAGGGGACCTCCGAGGGGTCCCGGCAGCGGACGCCTGTCCGCTGGCAGCCGCTCCCCGAAGTCCGGGAGGCCCAAGATCGGGAAGCCTTCGGGGTGGAGCCAGGACTTGGGGTGCACAGGAAAGTGGAAGCCGAGCGGATGGGAAGGGCCTTCGCCCTCCCCCAGCCCGTTGCCCAGCTCGAGGAACCGCCTGTCTGGCTCGGGGTCCTGCTTGTTCCTTGGGGTGGGCACCTCCGACTCCACCGCAGCCTCCTCTCTCACCTCCGCTTCGGCCTTGGCCTCAGTCTCCGCCTCGCCTGCCTCAGGGCGCTCTGGATCAGCCTCGGCTTCCTCTGGCGCCGCCTCGGGCAACGCCTTGTC